TACTGTCACACAGTACAGCACATGGCTTGGCCCTAACAAATACTTATCAAATAAATGAATGAGCATTGCTATTAATTTTCTTTCTTTGTTTTTTTTTATTTTTTTTTTATTTTCAAGACAGGGTTTCTTCGTAGCTTTTGGTTCCTGTCCTGGAACTAGCTCTTGTAGTCCAGGCTGGCCTCGAACTCACAGAGATCCGCCTGCCTCTGCCTCCCGAGTGCTGGGATTAAAGGCGTGCACCACCACCACCTGGCCTTTGTTTTTTTTGAGACAGGATTTCTCTGTAGTTTTGGAGCCTGTCCTAGAACTAGCTCTTGTAGACCACGCTGACCTTGAACTCATAATATTGCTATTAATTTTGTACTGCATGAGGTACTAGTTAAGTGGTTCGATTTCTGCAGGTGTTCAGATAATGTGAAAGGCTTTAAACTATAAGGTGTTGACTAAGATTACACGTGTGCCTCCTACATGATGGATAAAAATGATAATGACTGGCAAACTCTAATAATCAGCAGTGTTTGTTCAACCCAAGTCTTCTTGAGTTGGCACAAATTCTATTTCAAGAATGCAGACCAACCTGACTTGGTCTTACTGTGGTATCTGTCCCTCATCGGATCTTGTATTGTCCCACAAGATGGCTAGTGCCTAACCTGGACACCCACCTGTCTCGTGCTCTGCAGATGGGAATTTGGGTCTCAGTTAGCCTCCTCTTCTTGTAATCAGACCTCCAGCTCCCCACAGACCCAGAGCATACATCAGGGAAGAGAATGGGACAATACGCCCTCCACTAAGTCAGATGATTCTCTTTGATGAATGTAACCCTCTCAGGCTCCATCACACCCACTCCTGTGGTCCTTCCTCTGAAAGGGGCTCGGGCCACTTAGATATCAACAAGTCCCTGTTGGATTAAAGTGAACAAGATGACAGACCTATAAATTGTATTGTATGATACAGAAAATGGCAGAATAAATGCAGACAGCTCCTTGGCAAGCGTGAAAAACGTTTTCTAAACATTCAGCTTGCAAACTTGCATAAGCCAGCTAGGTGCCAAGCACATGGGTGTAACTAAACACAGAAATCTCTGCCCTCCCAGCACATGGTGTCGCCTCATTCATAGAGAAAATTTCATGTAGGAGTCTGAAGGATTGACCTCAGAAGCCGTGCGTGGCTTACTCCTCAGTAACTCTGCCACCCTGGGAATTTCCTTGGTTACCCTTACTCTTGCATTACTTCCACACTGATCAATATTGTTTTGTGATTTGAACTTGATTTGAAATGGGGTGTCTTCCTATTGCTGCCCACACCACCCTCTCACCCCACCCTCCCGTGTAGCGGGGTACAGGCATGCCCTTTTGCCTGGCTAGATATTTATTTGGTACCCATCTCAATGTGTCCTCATCTTCCATTCCAGCCGTCTCTGCAAGGGTTGTCAGATGGTCAGACAATACTTCCGGGACAAAAGAAAGCAAATTCCATATGCAGGAGGCAGTAGGCCAGAGCCACTTTTCTCTGCTTTAGTTACAGAGAGGGAATGAGGAACTGTAAATTAGAAGAAAGCTCTTTGGCTATGCACAGGCTGTAGGCAAGAACCGTAATTAAAATAGGCAAAGCTAAAGGCAGCTGAGAAGTCCTTCAGTTTCAAAACAAAGGCAAGTCCACCAGCCAATGAACCCTGTCCTCACACAATGAGGTTGAATCAGAATTTTTGTCCCTTGTGATTTTTTCCAGGTTTATTCTTATTGTGGTGAGAACACTTAACAAGAAGTTTTCACTTGTACAGGCTTTTAAGCGTATGAGACAATAGTGCTGTCTATGGCTATCTGTACTCAATGGCTCTACAAAACTAACTGTCCCTGCACGCGCAAAGCTTTAACTTTGGTGGTGGTGACGACAGTGTATGTCTGTGGTCTGTGCATGTGTGTGTGCAGGTGCACATGTATGAGTGTGCAGAGACAAAAGGGTGTAACAAGTGTCTTCCCGGGTCTCTCTCCACCTTAGTTATTGAGACAGAGTCTCTCACTGGACCTAGAACTCATAGATTAATTAGTCTGACTAGCCAGTGAGTCCCCGGAATCCTCCTGTCTCCACTAGTGTTACAGACACATACTTCAGCGACCAGTTCTTACGTAGGTACCTACCATCTGAACTCAGTCAGATTCCTGTGCTTACAAAGCAAACAGTTTATTGTCTGAGTCATATCCCTAGTTCCCGTTGATTAGCTAGGCTCCTCCCACTCCCACCTCTGGCACCTGGTATAGCCAAATGTCAGTCTTTTTTTCCGTGTTTGGCCATTTAAATTCTTAATAGAGCTAGAATCCTGACAAACTGGTCACTCCAGGAATGGGCTTGTTTCGTGTACCATTGTGTCCACTAAGCATTTGTTTGACCTCCACTTCCCTGTGTGGGGTGTGTGTGTGTGTGTGTGTGTGTGTGTGTCTGTGTGTGTATGTGTTAGAAACCAGCCTGCATCAAATCATCTTTTTTTCTTTTTGATTTTTTGAGACAGTGTTTCTCTCTGTAGCTTTGGAGCCTGTCCCGGAACTTGCTCTGGCCTCAAACTCAGAGATTCGCCTATCTCTGCCTTCTGAGTACTAGGATTAAAGGCATGAGCCACCACCACCCAGCTCAAATCATAATTCTTAAACTCATCCAAGTGCTGGGCATTGGGGTGACTTTGTAACTTGATATTATAAATGATGGTCATATGGAAAGCTTGTGTGTCTGCCTGAGAAATGAGACAGTGGCATAAGTCCAGTATTTGGTTGCAAAAGCAGTCTGGCCCTGGAGTCATAAGGACAGAAGACAGAGGGCAATGCCTGGAGCTCTGGGTTGCCAGCTTTAGAGGCAGATCAGGGCAGGCAACAAACCTGGAAACTCAAACTCATGGTGTGGGGTAAGGTGGGGTGGCTTGTTTATTAGTAAGTGTGCAGTGAGAACGGAAATCTCTGAACGTGTTTATAAAGTCACTTTGGGAACCTAAGCAGGAGCAGGGTGTCAATCCTACTGGGTGACTGAGTTGGCATGTCTTCTCTCTCCGTGCACACGCTCACAGAGAGGGAGATGGATGGGAAGAAAGTTGGCAGCTGGAGATTTTATACCTGTAGGGTTAGTCAGTGCTTTACCCTAAGTCTAAGCAGTTTCTGGGGTTTCTTGACTGTAAGATGCAGTCTCTGGGTTTCAGCTTCTGGCTCACAGTGCTGTTTTTGAAGTAATGAGTGATGGAGAGTTCCGGAACATGGTGGTGGCTGCAAACACCCACACCCACCCCCTGTCTCTCTCACACACATACCTCATTCAGGATGTTTTAACTAAATGGAAAATTTTGTATTAAGTCTGGGAAAGGTTGGTTCTTGACTCGAGACACAGTGTGGATTTTTCAGCAGGGGCAGGGCACACCAGTGAGTTCACTTCATTCCACCAGAAACAGAGCTGAACTGGAGAATGGGAACCGAGTGGGCTTAAGTTAGCTTATGTTTGGGTGGGAGGGGGCGGGAGAGACCACAGCAGCTAATCCTGGAAAACAGAGAGACAGAATCTTTACTGTCAGACAAAGTACAATGATACCCGATTTAAAAACTAGGAAAGTCCAAATACCTAGCAAACAGTCTAACACATGAATAAATTAAGTACAATGTGCTGTCGTTTTGAGAGGTCTCCCTCAGTAGCTGCACTGGGCTAGAGTTCACCACGGAGGCTAAGCAAGCCTGCAGTTCTTGGCAGCCCTCCTACCTTAGCCCCCAAGTCCTAAGATTACAGGCTGCAATAACCACATCCAGCCTTATACGCGTTCTTGTGCAGTTACTCACAACACAAGTTGGAAGTTGAGCACTGCTGCATAGCGACTCTCAGCCTTCCGAACACTGCAGCCCTTTGGTGCAGCTCCTCCTGTTGTGGTGACTTCCAACCATAAAATTATCTTTGTTGCTACTTCATAACTCTAAATTTGCTACTGTAGTGAATCATAACATAGGTATCTGACATGCAGGCTACCTGATGTGGGACTCCTGGGGAAGGGTCATTCGATCCCCAAAGGGGTCATGACCCACAGGTTGAGAATCACTGCTGTACAGACTGACATCAGACAAGTAAGGAAATAAGCATACAAGAAAAGGAATAAGACATATCAGTGTGCTGCTCGTAACCTAACAGCTCAATTACATTTTCCTTTGTGTCTGTGCTGTTGTGGTTTGGGTTAATCTCATGTAGCTCATGCTGTCCTCAAACCCACTATGTAGGCAAGGGTGACCTTTAGCTTCTGGCTCTCCTGCCTCCAGCTCTCAAGCACTGTACCACAAAACAAGGGCCTCAGGCATGCAAGACAAGGACTCTACCTCCCGAGCTACAACCCAGGCCTCCTTTGCAGCTCTTTATGGGATTAAAGGCACGTGTCATCCCCACCCAGCTTACATTTTTTTCTTAGTTTTTTAGATTTATTTTTACTTCATGTGTGTAAATGTTATGCCTTACATGTATGTTTGTGTATCGCATGCTTGTAGTGGCCTCAGAGGCCAGAAGAGGATGTCAGATTCTCTGGAACTGGAGTTACAGTTATGAGCCACTGTGGGAGTGTTGGGTTGTCTGTAAGAGCAGCAAGTGCCATCTCTCCTGCCCTCCTTCACATTTATCTTCCAATTTCCCATGCCATGTGTGTGCTTCTACGAAATGAGTGGAAGGGTTTTTCTTCTTTTCTCCTTTTAAACTCATAAGAATATATAATCTATTCATGTATCTGTAATAAATAGGTAGCCTGGCTCCTTACCATTTAGTAAGCAGATTCTAAAGAAACAATACCCTCTACTGAGCCGTAAGCTCTTTGATTGGTCATTCATTAACTACTCAGGAGGTACTGTGTGTTCTGCTCCGTGTCACCCGTGTCCGGATCACTTCTATACCAAACAGGAACCGGGTTAACCATTACACTATAGGTAAAGTTTCAGTTTTATAATGTTTAATTTGAAATGAAGAAGACCTGTGCCTTTGTTTCATTCATTTAATAGAATACGCTGAACAGACGCCTAATACATCGCAACTGTGAAATCTAAAAACAAGTATATTTTTCTTAGCACATTTTCCCAATAGTATTTTATGGCTTTGGACTGATTTATATATTGGTATTACAGAGTAAGAAACTTTTTTGCATACATCTTAAATTAAGAAACAAGCTCGAGATTCTTCTGTCTTTGGACATTAGGAGAATTCCAGGTCCATCTCCATGGAGGGATGTGTCCATCTCATCCTAGAGTGAGGAAAAGAACATGTGAGCAAATGGGTTTAATTCTAACCCCATTTCACTCTAAGTTTGGGTAGACTGAATTCTCATAGTGGTTCACATGCAGAGCAGAATGGGAAAGCCACATGCGTCCTTATAACCAGGAAACCACAGTTCAGCCCCTGACGCCCGCTCACCAGCTACCTGGCATCTCCCTGACTCCTCTTACTTTCTCTCTATACCTCTGTTCAGATTTCCTGCTTAGCTTTACTCTACTAAGCCACTGGCCAAAACAGCTTCTTTAATAACCAGTGGTAATAGAACATATTCATAGTATACAGAGGGGAATCCCATATCACCCCATCTTATTCTTTGAGACAGGGTCTCTCCCTGAACCTGGAGCCCATTGATTTTACTGGACTAGCTGTCCAGTGAGCTCTGGGGATTATAGGTTAAATCAGGTTGCTTAAAAGCATTGATTTTTCTGCAGGTTGTAATGGACTCACCTCTCAGAATCTAATACTGCCTTGCCACAGCCCTGGCATTTGCGCCTGGCTAACCACAACTGTGTGATTTGATGGTTCCACCCTGCCGTCCAGTGACCAGAATCTCTGTAAGGATGGCCAGTGGTTACAGCGCAGTCTTGGAAGTCAGAGGAGCATAGGCTGGTGATTTCCACTCCACTAGCTCTCAGAGTAGGCATTACCATGTCCTTCCTATCACCAAGTTTTTTACCAGGGAGGTGGAGCTTATTATCCTCAACTTTTGATCACGTGGGCTGTACAGTTATGGGTGCCTGCTGTCCTGCTCCACATGTGAGGTGTACCTCTGACCTCTGTGGGCACTTAGCAAACACACACACACACCCCTCTAAAATATCTTTTAAAAGAAAGAAAAGAAAAGAAAAGAAAAGAAAAGAAAAGAAAAGAAAAGAAAAGGAGAAAAGGACACCATGCTTGGCTTCTATGTGCTGCTATTTTCCCCCGGGGTCCCCTCCCAAGTGTAGACAGATATTCAGAATTCAAGTGCCAGCTCCGTGGTCCCCACACTAGCTGTGCATTGCTCCCGTGTCAAGAGCCCTGTCTCTTCCATACTCTGTGGCAGATATGTGACACACGACACTAGGAAAGTGAGGATGAGCACGGCTTGTCTTCTGAAGAGCACACCACATTGACATGTGCCAAGAATAAGGAGACACGAAGGGACGCAGACAGGAGACTTGCCCTCACCTTCCCTTCATCACATTTAGAAGAAAGGAAAGCACATGATTCCTCCCTGAGGGCCTGGCTGTGTACAAGAATCTCTTGTGCATAAGAAGTAAAGAAAATAGACGTGTAAGCCTAGGTGTGAACTCTCTGGTGTCTGTAGAGGTGTGCTGCTTAGCCGGACTGCTTGAGTCCCAGGATGACAAAGTGTGACCTGACAGAAGCAAGCCGGGGAGGCCGACTCAGCTGAGGTTCTTAGCCCTGGGCCACTTGTTGTGGTGCCCGTGGGAGTCCAGGGTCCAGGGTCTTACTTCTCAGCCCTCCATGCCTCGAGTAGTACTTGGCTTGGGGGAGTGAACTATTTCTGCTCTGCTGTCCTGGCATCATGCCTCCCACAGGCAGGTTCCTCTTGATGCTCCAAATCCCATCCAGGGCCACTGTGAACATGTTAAAAACAAGGCAGTGAGAGTGAGCGGGGCATTCCCTTCCCAGCACGAAGCGTTTCAAACATCTTTTCCTTGATGATTATGCTTCCAGTTCATCGGATAAAGGTATATTTGGCTTAATCAAGCCACCCTAGGACTTTCTCATCTTTTTAATCTTTAATACATTTCATGCATCCATCTATTACTGCGTGGAATTAAACCACAATATGCTGTTAAGCTCGAGTCTCCACAAAGACATAAAAAGTCAATACAGTAATATATATGGCAAAACAAAAAAAATCAAGAATAAATAAAAACAAATTCTGCATATTATTCGGTTTTCCACATCTGATTCTAATTTAATTCCTTCAATAAGAAGAAATATTTCCACAGATGAGGAAACCATTCACAGCCAGGCAGTGGCACACGCCTTTAATCCCAGCACTGGGGAGGTAGAGGCAGGCAGATCTCTGTGAGTTCAAGGCCAGGCTGGTCTACAGAGCGAGTTCTAGAACAGCCAGGGCTACACAGAGAAAGCCACTTGAGAAACCAAAAAAAGAAAGAAAAAAAAAAGAAAATTATTTACAAGACTGAAGAATCTCTTAAAAGCCATGAGCCAGGTGTATCTTAAAGTTCCAGGTGTGTCTTAAAATTCCATGGCCACTCACTGGCTCCTGCTGTTTGAGTGTTGAGCCCCTGGGAAATGGGGTCTGCACTGTCACCTGGCAGGTGGCAGGAGGATGTCTGCCTTCAGCACGTGCCAAAGCATTATCAGTGCTTTGTGCTTGAATCCATCCTAAATTGTCTGTTTAGGGATTTCCTTAACCTCTGTGCTGGCTACTTCTATGTCAGTGTGACACAGCCTGTCATCTGGGAAGTGGAATCTCAGCCGAAAAGATGCCACCACTAGGTTGGCCTGTGGGGGAATTTTCTTGAGTGGTGATAGGTGAGGGAGGGCCCAGCTCACTGTGGGTGATGCCAAACTTGAGCAGGTGGCGCTGGGGGTTATGGGAAAGCACACTGAGTAAGCCAGCACTGCCGTCCCCTGCTGATGAAGTGTGACTTGAGAGTTATATAGATAACCCTTTCCTCCTCAGGTTGCTTTGGTCATGGAATTTATCACAGCGACAGCAACCCTGAGCAAGACAATTTAACTATAGAGGAAGGCACAACCCACGCTGACTGAGTTAGTGAGCTCAGGTGAGCCACTATGACTTCTTGGTCTGATTTTGAGCATGTAAATTGTATTGCTGAATACTCTTCACAGACCCAGGGCTTCCCACCCAGAGCAGTCTCACTGACACTCTCGTGACACTTGGTCCCTCCATAAAAGATTCTGCTCTAAGTAATGCCTAGGAAGGAGCGCAATCTCTGGGCTCAGAACAGAGTGGGGCTTCAGGCCCAGCTCGCCCATCACCAGCCGTAAGCCCTGGGCAAATTGTTTTAACCCACTGTGTCTAGTTCCTTAGATCTGTAGTGGGCCTAATAATCCCACCTTGGAAGGCTCCTCTCGGATGTGGATGAAACAGACGCAGAGTGCTTTGTGTTCAATTAACAGTGGCTATAGTCTTCACAAGGACAGTGACTTTGCTGTCTGAGGGTGAACTCAGACCTCAGACTCCAGGGCTGCCGCGGGAGGGCTTGCCAAGCTGAGTGCTACAGTTGGTAGGGTGTGTGTGTGTGTGTGTGTGTGTGTGTGTGTGTGTGTGTAGCTGAAGCCGCCAATCAAGATGTCATCCTTTCTCTAGGTCCTTAAAGGAAGACATCACAATCGCCTCCTGTTGAGATCTTACAAAACTAAAACAGTTCTTCGCATCTAACCTAAATCTCTCCTCCCTTCTCTTCTCCAGTTTCCTCTTCTGTCCTGTCTAGGGAGAGCTGCCCTTCCAGCTGCTGCTCCCAAATGCAGGTGAAGACAGCCTGTAGAGAGATCAATAAAACAGCTGGAGATTTGCCCTATGCATCGGCAAAGCCCTAGCAGGCAGAAATCAGTGTAGACTCTAGAGCCAGGCTTCTGCAGACAGCCACAGCGAACTGGATGTCAAAGTGTTCACCAGCCAGCTTTTGCTCTGGTCTTCCTGATCCACCTAGAGGAGTGCTGAAGGTTACAGCTGAACAGAAAACACTCAGAATATACACACAGATGTGAAGTAGTTAAAACCTCAAAGTGAAATACAGTTGTGCATAAGTGATCACTGCTTTCAATGATGAGGGCTGAGAGAGAAGCTATCGACAACACTGTGTCTATTTGATGAGACACTTGGGTGAAGAGGTTACCAGAGCTGAAATACTCGAGAAGAACAAGGCACTGAAGGCCTGAGAGGCAGCTCCCCTCTTGGGGGAAGTGACCTCTTTGTGTTCCAGGCATGCAGGCACCTTTAAGAAGGTAGCAGGATGACAAGGCAGGGGCGGAGCCAGGAAGGCCTCAGAGTTGGCATATCAGATAGGAAGGGAAAAGAGCAGCAGGCACTAGAGACCCAAATCCTGTCCTAGAACCTCCTAGAGATCTTTTCTTTCCTTGGGTCCTTGATCATTCCAATTCAGAGACCTTTTTCTGTGCATTTTTATTCTAAATTTAAACATTATAAGACCACACATGCTTTCCATAACCCCTAGAGAATCTAGCCAATCTCCCCGGGTTGATTTTGTTTTTGATCCTCTTGGCTGTGTGGACTGAGTGAGGAGTGGGAGGGCCTGGAAGGCAGTGGAGCCATACTTCCCTGTGTAACATGTTCAGAGCTTAGACCAGGGAAAGCAAAACTTCAAGTGACTGTAATTTCTACTTAGTGACTTCTAGGCCCTTGGCCTGCCAGTTGGTAGGTAATAACCCAAGGGGTTACATTGTATACATTGTAGATACACAGATCTGACAGGACTTTGGGGGGCAGAGGATCAAACCCAGGCAGGACCTTGTGTATTTTAGGCAAGTTCTCTATGACTGAGTTGTATCCCCAGCCCCCTTTTTAGTTCTTTTTCTTCTGTTTTTTAAAAAGTATTTATTTTTACTTCATATGTATTGGTATTTTGCCTACAGGGTCCAGATTCCCTGGAACAGGAGTAACAGACAGCTGTGAGCTGCCATGTGGGTATCGAGAATTGAATCCTGGTGGTCAGGAAAACAAGTCAATGCTCTTATCAGCTGAGCCATCTCTCCAGCCCACCTTTTCTGGTTACTTAAGACAATAAAATATATATTGTGTCTAATATAACACAAGCTGGCCTCAAACCCTATGTGTAGCCAAGGATGACTTTGAACTCCTTGATTAGCATGGCTTCCACTCAAGTATTTGGATTAGAACAAGCTCCACCAGGAGCAGACCCAGTCCCAGGACATTGACAGATCAGGACTGAGCCAGTGACCATATCCAAAGTCAGTGATCTCCACCACAACAGGTCCAACTCCAAGCCAGGGACTTCTTCAGGAGGAGATCCAGACCAAGATTTACAGAAACAGATCAAAGCCAGCAGCCTAGGCCAAAGTAGGCCTGAGACAGCAAACTCCAAGGGAGCAGACCAAAGCACAGGAGCACTGAGCTACCTCCAGGAACAGGAATAACCAATGGGGTAACTAGAACTGTTCCACGAGGAACAACCATCTGAGCTTTGGATTCACTGACACCTAGAAGATTATTCCACAGAATCTCAGACAGCCCCACCCACACCTATTAGAGGAAAAGATGAGTAGAAAAGGTAAAATCACATGCTACACCACAAAGAGCAACACAATACCGGTAAAACCTAAAGACCCTACAAAAGCAAGACCTGAACAACCAAATATGGATGAACCAGAAGAAAGTGATCTAAAAAATAATCTCAAGAGAATGTTTGAAATTCTTAAAGATGAAATGAGAAATTCCCTTAAAGAAATGGAAGAAAAAAACAAACAAAAAATTGGAAGATATCAGCAAATCACTTAAAGAAAACCAGGAAAAAGAACTCAAACATATAAAAGAAACTATTCAGGACTTGAAAACTGAGATAGGAAAAAATAAAAAAAAACACAAGCTGAAGGAATTTAGAAACAGAAATCATGAGAAAAAGATCAGGAACCACAAATGTAAGCATGAACAACAGAGTACAAGAAATAGAAGAGAGAATCTCAAGCGCTGAAGATACAATAAAGGAAATGAACTCATCAGTTAAAGAAAACAAATCTAATAAAAGCTTAACCCAAAATATTAATGAAATATGGGACACCATAAAAAGGCCAAATCTTAGAAAAATAGGTATAGAAGAAGGAGAAGTTCAACTCAAAGGCACAGAAAATATATTTAACAAAATCATAGAAGAAAACTTTCCCTACCTAAAGAAAGATATGCCTGTGAAGACGCAAGAAGCTTACAGAACACCAAATAACAGAGTAAAGAAAGAATATTAAGAGCTGCAAAGGAAAAAGGCCAAGTAACATATAAAGGTATACCCATCAGAATTACACCTGACTTCTCATTGGAGACAATAAAAGCCAGAGGGTCATGGTCAAGCATTATACAGATATTAAGAGACCACAGATGCCAGACCAGACGACTATACCCAGCAAAACTGTCAATTACCAAAGAAGGACAAAAAAGATACTCCATGACAAATCTAGATTTCACCAATACCTAGTCACAAACCCAGCCCTACACAAAATACTAGAAGGTAAACTCCAACCCAAGGAAGATGGCTACACCAACAAAAACACACACAATTGATGATCTCATTACAGCAAATCCTGAAGAAGAAAAAAAATGCACAAATTAACATCACCAATGATGAAAACTAAATTAGCAGGACATAGCAACCAATATCCCTTAATATAAATGGACTCAACTCACCTATAAAAAGGCACAGGCTAACAGATTGGATACAAAAACAGAGTCCATCATTCCTCTGCATATAAGAAATGCATCTCAACCTCAAAGACAGACATCGTCTCAGAGTAAAAAGTTGGGAAAAAAATACCAATCAACTGGACCTAAGATACAAGTGGATGTGGCCATGCTAATATCTAACAAAATAGACTTCAAGCTAAA